CCTGCCCACCTGCTCTTTCTGTGGGTCATCTGGGTGACAACTGTCCAGCTGGTAACTTACTGGTACCCACTGGACAGGGACTGCGCAGAATGCAAAGCCTTTGGGACTGGTCCCCTGGCTACGAACTGCAGCACAGCGTGTGCCCACGCCAACATGACTCTGGTTTTGACCCCTACCCTGGATGACAGCTGGTGCAAAGAGAGGACCCAGGACAACCAGCTCTTTTTCTTTCTGGCAGAGGATGAAGCTGGAGGCAGAGTTGTGCTCACAGTGAGCCCTCCAGAGAGTAAGTGGACAGGGATACTGTGGACATGCCACATGAAACCCTGCAAGTTTAATGGGTAAGGGGCCAGAACTCTTGAGGTGAAGACGCCAGGCAATCCGGCTGGGGACTGAAGCAGAGCTGTGAACCAAGGAGTGTGCAGATGCCGGATCAAGTGGACCTGGCTAAGGCCCTGAGTCCTGGGATAACCCTGATCCTGTGGAAGTTCCCTTTGCTTTCAATGACAGGCAGGACTAGGGAGGCTGGATGGGGCTGAACACATTGTGGGTGACGGGTGATCAATTTCTAGGCCTTGGCCCCCAGAAGTTCATTGTTTCTTCCCCATAGAGGGAGCAGACCACACCCAAATAATTGTGCTGGGCTGTGTGGGGGGCATCGTGGCAGTGGGACTGGGATTGGTCCTTGCTTATCGGCTCTCAGTGGAGATCTATGACCGCCGAGAATTCCATCGTTTTGAAAAGGAGCGGCAACATCTCAACTGGAAGCAGGTGATGAGGCTGTCTCCTCCCCCACTGGGTGGGGTTACAGGGGTTTTGCTTTCTGCTTCACCATCCCCAGATCTACCCCATTCCTTCCACGCAACCCCCACCCCAGGCCTGTGCCTCCTCTGCAGGCTTACCCTGGTTCCTCTGCTCATTTCCATTAGTTCCTGGGGTTCCTGCTCAAGTTCTAAACTGGCCTCTTAGACTTAGATAAGAGAGGAGTCCTCGGACTTTTCCACATCACTGGCAACTTCTTTCTGCAGGACCACAATCCTCTCTACCAAAGCGCCATCACGACCACTGTCAACCCCCGCTTTCAAGAGGCAGACAGCCCCCTTCTCTGAAGTGGGGAGAGAAAATCACTGCAGAGCTCTCCTTTGGGACAGAAGGAGTTGAGGCGTGGGTCTATCAGCCTACAGCTTGGCAGGGGGCTGATGCACTGCTGAGTAGGCCCCCATACGTCATTCTCAGAGCGACACTGACACTGAAGGGCTGCCTACTGCCGCAACCTTGCTTCCCTACCTCACAAGGAGTGGGGGCTATCCCACCCATGTATACAATAAAGTCCTATCTGAGAGCACACCTGTCAGTTTGTTTTACCCCAGGCGAGCCTGGGCCTCACATGCATTCCTCCTCCTACCACCTGAGGGCAGGGTGGGGGAGAGTTTCTCAAACTTAACTGTGCACGAGATGACACAGGGTTGTGATATGGACTGTGTGGGGAGAAGCAGCAGCACTGGGCTGGGTGGGCCAGTGAATCCTCATGTGAAGCCGACAAAGGAGTGCTGCAGACCACACTTGGAGAAACACTGCCTTGGCTGGTGTCTAGCCTTGTTCTGTCCTGCTACATGTACTTTCTTTCCTTATTCAGAACTGACAGCCTGTTTTTAAGTTCTCCTTGTTGTTCTTCTGCAAAGGGGAGCTCACAGGGTGCTGGAAGTTGTGGGGTGGTTGGTTACATTTGGTGGGGAAAAAAGAAAACTACTTTGGCACCAGTGAGAAAACTTCTCCCAAGGATATTCTTCCCAAAGAGGAGATGGTATGTACAAAAGCCCCATTTTGTTTTTATTTAAATATCCTAAATATATCACGAAGGAACATACACTGCACTTTAATGGTAAAAAGATACAAGTTTATAACATCTTATAAAAACTACCATTTAAAAGTGATCTTGTTCATTTGATAGTTCCCTCCCCTAATAGCAAAATAAGTATATTAAAAAAAAAAAAGGTGGAGAGGAAGGGTGGGGTGAGAGGGATTAAGATAAAAGCCCCAGGGCCACATAGAGGCAGAGAACATCTGGGGAGAGGGTTAAACATTGTGGTGGGACCCCACACCTCATTTAACCCTCCAATGTCAAGCCATGGGGCACAATCAGTAGCTAAGTGATGACAAGAGGTTGTTGGAGGTGGGGTGGACGGAGAAGACTTGAGGTGCTGGGAAGGGCAGGGCTGGTGGGGCCCGGTCCAGCAGCTCACCCAGGAATTTGCGCTACTCTTCCCCAGGTCCCCCAATCTCATGTCCTGGTCTCTTAAGAGCTGGCCCCACCGCCATCCCCTTCACTCCAGACACACCTGAGGCATCTTTCCAGTGCTAGACTCCACCCAGTAGAGGGGTGGAATGTCAGGCCCAGGAGCCTTTGCAGTGGCCTGTGATCTCCCTGGGGTGTAAGTGGGACTCTTGGGCGCGGTCACTCCTTTTGCCTCTCGGTTCCCCTCTCCTCACAAACCCACAGCCTCATGAACATCAGCACCTGGACAACTGAGCTAACCACCTGCTCCTGAGTTTCCACTCACCCAGTCCTCGGCAGGGGTGGTTCTGGTATGGCTCTCTGCACATATGCTTAGAAGTTCCCTCTCCCCCACACACTGAAGCAGGAAGCCGAGGCCTGCAGGGGGCTAGGGCACATTCGGACCTAAACACACATTTGCACATGCAAGGGCACACCTCACTAACGTGATTCTCTCCACACACACCCCCAATCCTAAACTGCCTAGTTGCAGGTGGCAGGGAGCAAAGTCTTCCACTTTCAAAAGCACCGTTTGGAAGGACAGTTTTCTAAATGTGTCCCAGACAAACCCCAGCCCCCAGAGGAGCTCTCTAACAGACGGGCTGGCTCACATGCAGAAAGAGGCCCAACTTGCAGGGACCAAGGGCTGGTTTCAGGACTCGCCATCTAGTTTCTGGACCATGTCAAACGTGCCAACACAAAACTAGGAGAGAACAGGCTGCAGGCGCGTTCCCCAGCGTTTCCCCATAGGATCTCAGATGCTGTCAGGGAAGAGCTAAAGGGTGCCATGCTTCCTTTCTTTTCCCCAAATCCTCACACCTCAGAGGTATGGAGACACCCCCCGACCCCCGCTCCCCACCATTTCCTTCAGAAGAGGTAACAGGAGTGTGCTGTTGCCTACCTTTTCTGTGAAAGGAAACCACTTCCTGCAGACTGCCATCTCAGACCCCCCACTGACAGCCTGGTCAAGTGCACCAAGTCTCCATGATTCTTCTCTAATTACTCACCACACCCCCATAGGTCAGGACAGCCCATAACCTGGGAGTCAACCAAACCCTCGGAACCTCCCATAAGGATCCTTTCCTTAGCAGGAAGAAAGAGGGTTTTTATTTCACTTTAGAAAATTCATATTCACAAGCCCTGGCTTGGGTAAGCAACATCCTAACCAGCAGTCTGTTGAATCAATCTTAAAAAAACCCTCCAAAGTGAAGCCCTCCAGGCCCCTCGAGCTGAGTTCTTCAGCTCCTCTCGAACCTCAAGGTTCAGGCCTTCAGGTTTTGGGGGAGGGGCAGTCAGGAGAAGCTGTTTCATGCTTGTCCTCCTGAGCTGGGGCTAGAGAAGGGTTTGGCTCAATAATATGCCATCTCCAAGCATACAAACACGAACACTCACATACCACACACATGCTCACACACACACCCCTGATCCCTTCTGGGGAGGGTGTAGATAAGGTGGTGGTGTTGGAGCAGAGAAGAGCAAAGAATACAGTTAAGAGTAAAACCTACATTAGGTTTCTTCTTCGGTGTTTTCTCCACAGCACGCCCCTACCACCCCCACAGTTCTTTGTTGCGTAGGGATGGCCATCAAGAAGGAAGCCAAGATCTTTTCCTTTGGGACCAAAAGCTAGACCCTTATCTCCTCGACCTGAATATAGTGATAGGACGCGAGTGAGGAGAACAGCTCACGCTGTTCAACAGTCACGTCAGGGGACACCAAATTCCTTTGTTTCTTGAACAGCTGTCACCCAACTTGGGGCTAGTCTTGGGTGGTTCCTAAGAGGGCACAAGAAGAAAGAACCCACTGTAACATCCATGACTCCCTGCTCAACACCTCTGTCTGGCTTAGGAGTCAGTCAGTATCAGCGAGGTAGCCAAAAACTATCTCCAAGATCAACTACCCAAAGAGAGAAAGGGAAGGGGCTTCAAGGGCCACTCTCACCCAAGTTTCCTCCAAAAGGCACTTGAGCTGACCCCATTAGGTACCAGTGTGGCACTGGCCACTGCAATAGCCTGGGCCACAACTCCTGCTCTTCCCTGAAGGAAATGAGAGGTACCTGCCTACTCTTCCTGGATCCAGCCCTTGTCTGCTCCTCCCACTGCTCTTCCTTTTGTCCTTACAGTGTATAAGGAGGCCAAAGTAAGCACAGCTGCCATCCCTGATCCTGTTCTCCTTCAAACAGGAGGTGAGGTACAGGGCTGTGGAACATTAAGGATCAACTGCAACTAAAAACTCAATTTGGGGGAGGGCTGGACCAGCCATAATCCCTGCTTTGACCAGGACTCTATACCTCCATATTACCTATTTCCACAGTGCACCTGTTGAAACTGCTTTTGGATAAACAAAAATGAGAACAGAACAAACAAATCCCTCTCCCCAATCTCTTCCATTTCAGCTGCCAGCGGGAGTCCAGGGTTGTGGGAACCACACTTCAGTCTTGGTCCTGTACCTTGAGTCCCCACCTGCGACCTCAGCCAAGGGTCTGGGGACTAGCTTCCCTACCCAGGAATGCTGAAGGAACTTCCCCGAGATACTCAGAGTCTCAGATTATTTACAGAGCTGAAGCTCTGGGGCCTGCCGTCCCCTGATGCACTCTTCCGGTCTCCTGGGTCCACTCCTCCAGGAGGGAGACAGGTACAGACGGGGTGGTGGTGGGACCATCAGACCAGAGGGGCTGCACTCTTCGGTGGATTCTTCTGATCACTCCCACCACCCGGGGCCCCTGCGCCTAGAGAGAAAACTGCCCGTCGGAAGTCTTGGACTGGCACCCTTGGCACATCCGTTTGTGTCTGAGTAATCGATCTGTCCGAGAAAAACACTGAGAAGAAATGGAGGGTTAAGTGCCTGAGAGAAGAAACTTGGTTACCTATCGGCTAGCGTTGTCCTTCCCAAATGGGAGAGGCGCACGTCCCATTCTACATTCCCTTGGCATGTACACAGACAGCATGAGTGCACAGTGGTTAGGAACACAGCTCTGAAGTCTCAATCCTGGCCTAGCGCACAGTAGCCATGCAACCTTGGGCAAGCTGTCTCAGCCCTGAATGTGTCCACTCATCTGTAAAATGGGGCTAAAGGTACCTACTCACAGAGCGGCTGCTTCATTTATCAAGTATTTATTCAGTATCTCAAGGCAGGTACAGTTCCTGGGGCTGAGGACAGAGTGGAGAACCGGAGGGACAAAGGCCCTGCCCCACAGAGCTTTCGTTCTAGGGTTCTGCAGACAGAATCTGAGAGCGTGGGGCAAAGCTTGAGACCCAGTCAAGTGTCCAGAAAGTGTTCATTGTCATCATTTCTCATCTCTTGTTCTTGTCTTGTTTTGGTCCTGGATTTTACAGTCACAACACATCAGGTATTGACCGCTCCCCCAGGGCAGGGATTTTTATCTCTTCCTCCTAAGTGTACCTGTTCTGAAGTTCCAGTCAATGCGTCTCTATCCCTGATCTGCTGTGTCCTTGGGAAACTCAACCTCTCTAAATCTCAATCTCCCCATGGGCGAAATGAAGGCAACACAGCTACCTCACGGAGTTAATGTGAAGGTAACGTCATATGTGCTCTCACTGTGCCTGGTACACAGTAAGTACTCAAGAAACACTATTATTATTATTACAATTATTCTAATGGTCCCTCCCCGAGGGACCAGAAAGATATACCTCGCCCCGAAGTACTAACACCATCACGGCCAGGAATGCGAGGTGGCCCCTTGTCAGGCAGGGAGTGGGGGCAAGCCCTGGCTCTTGGGGAAGAAAGTTTGTGCGTGGGTGTGACTGCATGACACGTGAGCTTACCTGGTGACACCGTTCACACTGGTAGGGTTTTTCCCCACTGTGTACACGCTTGTGACGCTCCAGGTGGTACTTCTGGATGAAACGCATATCACATATGTCACACTCAAATGGCTTCTCACCTGGCCCAATCAGAGAGAAGGGAGCATCAGGAGGTATAGACGGCAGGGACCTCACTCCAGGTATCTTCCCAAAAATCTTTACCTTTTAGTAATGTGCTAAAGGGGAAAGGTCCCCAAAGCTGCTGGTCTCAGCAACACCAGATACATACAATCTCTTCTGCCTCATTCACTTACTTTCTTCCCCTATTTCTAATACTTGCTCCTTAAAATAAACCCAACAGGAGCTACACACAAACATAATACAAACTATGGACTATGCTCCCCCTCTGAATGTGAGCAAGAGACTTACCGGTATGAATAAGGATGTGCCTCTTGAGGTGATAACTGCTCCTAAAGGCTCCAAAGCAGTGTTCACAAACAAAATTTTTGGGAATCTTTACTTGAAAAGAACCATTTTGTTCCACTACCACCACCTGGGGGCAAGAGTCAGGCACGTCATGAGGCTATCCTATCCCTCTGCCCGCTTCTTGCCTCCATTCTGCCCTGGCCCTGCTGGACAAAGTAACTTCTCTGACGCTGTCATCTCCCATAACCCTCAGAGTTAACAGACCCTTGGATGAAGGAGGTAGGGTGAGCAAGCTGTCTGCTTGGTCAAACCTCACACTCTGAACTGACCTTAGAGGGAGACTGCCTGCCCCTCTGTCACAGGACCTCATGTTCCCCCGACCCTCCCCTTACCAAGGATGTTTCACAGAGGGCAGAGATCAATTGCCAAAGTGGTCTCTGGATGAAGCCAGGGTGACTCAACTCACCAGCTGTGAGGAGAGCTCAGGGCTGAGCCAGAGAGGGAAGAAAGAAGAGAGCTACCTTATTCCCCAAACTGAACCAGTCTGGGGGTTTCCCCATTATCTGCCTTTTTCTTCTTCTTTTTTGGCTGCTCTGCGTGGCTTGTGGGATCTCAGTTCCCTGACCAGGGAATGAACCCGAGCGCTCAACAATGAAAGCGTGGAGTCCTAATCATTGGACTGCCAAGGAATTCCCCATTACCTGCCTTTTTAACAGTCTTTTTTGAATGAGAGGCCTCAGCCAAGCTGTCATCGTCTTTGCGGCTCCGGGATTTATCACTGTCTTTTCGGTGGCCCTTTAAATACAAATCAAATCTAAATGCACAGTCAATCTCAGAACACAAGACAGGAGGCCGAAAAGGTGCTTTGAGACAACTTGTGAATCACCTGCCCAGAGCTTTAGAGAAAGTGCGCATCCATCTCCTCTCCAAGTACCTTGGTTTTAACGAGCTGTTGTACAGAAAAGACCTTCCTTTCCTGTACCCTCTAAAATACCCACACTCATGGCCCAGCTGTACCCCTTTCCCACTTCCCTAAACAGAAGCACTGAGGATCAAAGCTGGGCATCTGGCAGAGAGCCTGGGCCACCCGACCCCCAGGTGCCGCAATGGACTCAAGTGCTGTACCTGACTCGAGCACCTCAGCACATCAGGGCTACCTGCCCGCTCTCCATTCTCGGCCTGCTTGCTGGCAATCTGGCTCAGCATCATCTTCTTGCTGGCTGCAGTGGGAACCAAACTCACACCTGCTAGGCCTTCACAAGCCAGGAGACTTGCCTAAGTTGAAAGGAGATGAGGTGTCAGGTCACCTGGCAGGGCAGGGCAAAAACAGACTGCCAATTTCCAAAGAGCTACCTTAAACACCCAGCTACTAACGTGCGGCTTCTCTCCAAGGAGCGTCCCTCTTTACCACAAAGCCCTGCTTCCTTCGAGAGTCCTCCCTAACCCATCTCACCAGGACCAGTTATTCATTTTGTCAAGTGTCAGCATTCAGACACAGACCAAGAGAATCATCAGATGCTACTGACACTTTTGTCATCAGCACTGTGCTGGGTAAAGTGTGTATCTATATATTACTTTGAAGCCACATGAGGCTTAGAAATACCGAGTCCATCCTGTTGACCCAATGACATGGGAGATTTCTAGGGGAACTTTCTTCTCTCTTGATGACACTTAGCTACAGAAAACCCGCTTCTGACTGGCAGATCTCACTGGTGCCAAATGTATAGTCTATTAAGCTCTACAAACATGTATCAGTAAAATTAGGTCATTTCTCCCTTTAGATTTAAAATTCTCTAAGTGTTGTCAAATATAAAAATTTTGTATTTTATAACAAAGATAAAAATTAAACCACTTGGGAGAATTTTGGAGTTGAATATACAATTTTTCTTCCTCCTCCCCATCTTCACCATTCATGTGTGCATATTCATATTTTTCACAGTCCTTGCTATACATAGTTTAAAAATTACTTAAGTAAGGGATGTTTAGGAAAATCGCTACATTCTTCAAACTGACTTTGTCTAGCCAGCACTAGACAATATCCTTTTCTTACCGAAGAAACACTTTTAAGAACAGTTGGACAGCAAACTTCCACAAGTGATTTAAAAAGAAATTCCTTTCAGGTGACCAGTACATCCCAGGAACCCCCTTTCATCTTCAAGGACTTTGGAGGGAAAGGTCTGGAAGCAAGACTTAACTCTGCTGTTTGCACTGTATAATCTAAGGCAGTTTACTCCACCTCTTTAAGCCTCAGTTTCCTTAAATGCAAAACGTTTACCACAGTATCTACCCTCACAGGGTTGATGAGTTAAGTTAACATACAAAAGCAGCACCCCAGTACCAAGTTAGCAGTTAGGGAAAAAGCAGTCTTCTCAGAGCTAGAGTGAACAGGATGCTGTGAAGTGGGCTGCAAACAAAGGAAGAAGAAACTGCATGGCTCCTCCTCTGTATGGAAAAGAAGGAAGCTATGCATACAGCTGGAAGAAAGCCAGTGATTTCTTCCTGGTGAGGCTGGTAAGGTAGGGTCCCTGGAAGGAAGCTGGCAAAAGCTCTGGGGATGCTACAGACAGCTTTTCTCTCCAGATAACTACAATAACCTATTGAGCCATCCTGTCTCTCCAATCCATCTTGTATTCCCACAAGGGGGATTTGGAAGGACAACTACCTTCCAAATACACTGATCTTATGTCACTCTCCTGCTTAACACTTTTCAGAGAGTCCCCATTCCGTTTGGAATAAAGTCTAATTCCTCAGCAAGGCATAAAAAGACCTTCAGTCACACTCAGCTTACTTCTCCAGGAAACAATTCCCTCACCCTAACGTGGCCGTCTATCACTATCTCCTGTCTTTAACCATCTGCCCCCCCCACCCCAATCCTTTCCTCCTTAACTAGCAAACTACCCGCAGTACTCTCCACCTCACCATATCCTCCCAGGACTCTAAGTCTCTGCCCATGCCATTGTCTTTGTCTGAATGCCCTGTTCTACTTGTTTATCTAACAAAATCCTATACATCCTTCCAGCTTCAACTTCTTTTTTCATCCAGGCAGAAGGCTCATTCCCTCCTCCATGGTGTACATACCTCCATGATTGCATATTCCTTCAATCAACAGACTCATTGAGTCTGTACTACTAGCCAGCCACCACACAGTGTTGTGTATATAAAGATAAATAACAGATTGTCTCTTCATCTCCCCCAAATCCCAACCCAACTAGCCTGGAAGCCTGCTAGGGTCAGGGTCAATTTTATTCATCTTTGTATCCCCAGCACAATGCCTTGCATGTAACAGGAGCTCTAAAAATTCCTGTTGAAAAAAAAACAAATGAAGCATTCACCAGACTGTTTACTCCCTCATGCCCCTCAAAAGTTATTGTACCAAGTGTAAACTGCGTACATGTTGCTTTGTAAATGTCCCATCAGGGCCTGTGATGCAGTATAGCCTACCTCCTTCATTTGACTGGAAGCTCCCTGAAGGCAGGGGCTGTGGCCTGTCTCCTTTCCTTCCTCTAGATCTCCCCCTGGTGTTTAATACAGAGCTTGGCTCACTGGGTTGGTCAATATGTTGACTAAGGCAGCATTCAAGAGTGAAACTGCAAACACGCTTCCCAGTGATCTTGAAGGAGGAGGACTCTAGAGCTTTTTACCTGAGCCATGCTGATTTCTCACTTAATGCAACTCAAAAAGTTCGAGTTTCTTGCTCCACCTTTCCTTAAGACACTGTTGTTTGAAGAACTGTCACCAAATCACTGTAACAACTCTTTCGTGTCCCTTCAGTCCTGCTGCCATACTGAAGTGCCTTTGTCTTCAAGTAGAATTTAGTGTCCTCCAAAGTAAAGATAGATGTTCCAAGAATCCCTGGTCTCTGCTTGGCTCCTGCCTATTGTGTGAAGAAAAAGTCTGCCAGTCTTGGTTCTCCAGCTGAATACTCTGAATGAAATTCACGATCTGTTTCAGAAACCTGAAACCAGAAAGGGAAACGGAGCTGTTAGGTGCAACATCCTCAGGCCATACAACCTTCAGTGGGCTGAACTCTTTTGCCAGGCGCTCTCTGTGCGACTCTAAACGAAGACATCAGTTTTCTTTCTAGGTCATGAGAAGAAACTGGTCTCCAGGCCACCGATAGGAGCAAAAGTAACTTCGCCCTCTAGTGGAGGCACTGCAGCAGGCCAATTACTAGGATTTGCCAATTTAGGACTGGAAGAAGGGGGCGGAGGCCCTCTGGGGCTTTTGTGTCCAGTGGGCCGGCCCGCGAAGCTCGCACTCTATTAAGGCGACCAGAAGTCGGGTGGAGAAAAGCTCAGGGGTTAACGCTGGGCGCTTGAGCAGCAGACAGAAACCGGACCGGCAGTACGAGCCCAGGCCGGCCCACACGTGTGCATTCTCCGAGACCGCCCCAAGGTACGTAAACTCTCTGCGGAGGTGGAAGACAAGGAGGCGAAGCCCAACGCTGCGCGTTCCCTCCCATCTTCCCTCCCTCTCTCCAGTCAGTCAGTCAGCCAGTCAGCCAGTCAGCCAGCCAGCCAGCCGCTGAGCCCGCCGCACGCACCCGGAGAAGAGAGCCCAGGAGCGCGCAAGGTGCGTGCTCGCGCCCGCGTCCCTTCCGAGCAAACCCCCTCAGTCCGGCCGGTGACGCGACTGCACAGCGGTGTGCGCGCAGCCCCTACCTCTCCTCTGGACCACCCTCTCTTCGCCCCGGGCCCCTTCTTCCCTCCCCTCCCCCTTCCCGCGCGGTGCCCCACGGCCTGCGAGTTGCTGGAGCGCTGCCGCCTGCCTCCACAACGCTGCGCTCCCTGGGGCGTGCTCTTACCTGCCAGGCGCGGCCTCCCGCTGTCTCCCCCGCTGCGCGGCGCCTCCTCCAGGCCGCAGCACTCCGTGCCAACCCCGTGGCCGCCGCTGCCCCCGCCGGGACCGAGGCAAGTTTACAAACACCAACCCGGGGTCTGTTTCCCCGGAAGCACTTCCCCTCCCCCTCCGTCCTCTTCTCAATGCAGCACTATCCACTTCCGGGCGGGGGCAGACAGAAAGGGGGTGAGGCTGAGGGCGCACCGAGGGAGTGCAGCTGGTGAGTGGGCAGTGCCGGCGGCGCGCTGAAGGACGGGAAGAGGGAGGATCGGCGGTACGGCGCGTGCGCCGTGTTGCGGGCGCGCCCCCGTGGCCATCTTGATTCTGGGCAGGAAAGAAGGCCCTGAAATGTTGGTGTGCCGAGTGTTTGTTGAGGGCTTTGCTAGGTGAGTTGGTTAGGACTCCTTGAAGAAGTGTCATCACTCTCCTTTCCTCGCAGATGTTCTCCTTGTCGCTTATGAGCCTGGAGTCCCAAATAGTGCCAGAATAGTTCGTACGAGGCCTTTCACGTAGCTCTGTCGGGATCATCTTTACATGAGCTGTGCATCAGGCGCAGATCTGCAGATTCCGAGGGCCGCCTGTCAGCTGGGAGGGGAGTTAAGTTTTTTTGCACGCTCTTGCTGAGTACACTCAACTCCAGTCTGAGAAAGGATTCCCTGGCATGTTCGGCGCACTCCGAAGCCTTTGATTTCCTCATACGGCTTCTGCCTTTATTTCTAGACCGTCCAGTATGTAATACTGGCTTTCTCACCTCCGAAAATGCATAGGACTCTCCTGTTGTTCAGTCGCTCAGTCGTGTCCGACTCTTTGGGATCCCATGGACTTAAGCACGCCAGCCTTCCTGTCCTTCATTATCTCGTAGAACTTGCCCAGACTCATGTCTGTTGAGTCCGTGATGCCGTCCAACTATTTCATCTTGTGTCGTCCCCTCTGCCTTCAGTCTTTCCCAGCATCAAGGTCTTTTCTAAAGAGTCGGCTCTTCGCCTCAGGTGGCCAAAGTGCTGGAGCTTCATCTTCAGCATCAGTCCCTGCAATGAATATTCAGGATTGATTTCCTTTAGAGTTGACTGGTTGGATCCCCTTGCAGTCCAAGGGATTCTCAAGAGTCTTCTCCAACACTACAGTTCAAAAGCATCAATTCTTCAGCGCTCAGCCTTCGGTTCAACTCTTACATCCATACATGACTACTGGAAAAACCACAACTTTGACTAGACGGATCTTTGTTGGCAAAGTAATGTCTTTGCCTTTTAATATGCTGTACAGACTGGTTATAGCTTTTCTTCCAGGGAGCAAACATCTTTTAATTTCATGGCTGCAGTCACCATCTGCAGTGATTTTGGAGCCCAAGAAAATAAAGTTTGTCACTATTTCCATTGTTTCCTCATCTGTTGGCTATGAAGTGATGGGACTGGATGCCATGATCTTAGTTTTTTGAATGTTGAGTTTTTGATTTCCTTATAACGCTTACACCTTTATTTCTAGACCATCCAGCATCTAACTTTGGCTTCCTCCCCGAAAAGGCATAGGGCTATCCTCAGTAGGAAACTGCTGTCTTGTTGGAGATTTGGCAATACAGGGTGGCCCGTTGGCCCGGCTACATTAGGAAAACTCGAGCCTTTCTTTAAATTCTGTTCCCAACTTTCCTGCTAAAGATGGGCTTCCCCAGTGACTTAGAGGGTAAAAAAAATCTGCCTGCAATGCAAGAGATCTGGGTTCGATCCCTGGGTTGGGAAGATCACCTGAAGAAGGAAATGGCAACCCGCTCCAGCATTCTTACCTGGATAATTCCCATGGATGGAGGAGCCTGGCGGGCCACAGTCCATGAGGTTGCAGAGAGTTGGATGCAACTGAGGGACTAACGTTTTCACTTTCTGCTAGAGATGGACTATGCATTAATGCACTTGATGGAAGGAAATGTCCATTTTATTTAGGTGCTGTCAGGTTGCGAGTGTAGGGGAATTAAGGGAGATGCCTAAAGAAAAAAAATCTTTGTTTATGAATGAAGACAATTTCCAGCCACTTTATGTACATAGATTTCATTTCTGTGAGCACTCCCATTTTTTTTTTTACCAATTGACAGCAAATTTTTGTGGTCTTGAGATCATCATAGAACAGATACAGTTGAGTGAGATTATCGAAATAAATCTTTAATTAAGAAAAAAAAATAGCTCAGGGACTTCCCTGGTGGTCCGGTGATTAAGAATCTGCTTTATAATGGGGAGGGGGTAGGATATGAGTTCTATACTTGGTGGAGGAACTAAGATCCCACATACCACTGGGCAGTTAAGCCCATGTGCTGCAACTCCTTAGTGGGCTGCTGCAACTAACACCTGATTCAGCCAATAAATACTTAAAAAAAATAGCTCATGCTTATTTTAATAAATCCACACAACACAAAAAAATTAAAAGGCAAAAAAAAAATTTTGCCATCTGTATGCTACTTCATGCTCCTGAAGGTAGTCACTTTTATCAGTTTGTTGTGTATACCACCAGGCTTTTATCTATGTTCATAAAAACTTAAAAAAAAAACGAAAAACTTTTTTTCATCCAGAATTTATTTTTGAGCACCACAGTGGCCCAGACAAAAGTGTTTTACACATCTTCTAAGTTGTTTCACATTTTATTGTTTTATTTTATTTTATTTTTTTAGTTTCACATTTTAAAAATTGTTTCAGTATTCCAGCAATTTGTATTTTAGTTTGTCTAGGCCCATCCTCAATGAACATTCAGGTTAGTTCCAGTTTTTTTGTTTTATAAACCATGCTGTAATGAACATCCTTATAGTGATCCTTTTGTTTTTATAGATAGATTTATAGGTAGGAAATGGGCATTTAAAATTTTAATAGGTCCTGTGAAATTGAGTTTCAGGGGTTTGTAACAGTTTACACATTCAGAGCCATGTGTGAAAGTGCCTAGTTCCTGCAGTCTTGGCAATACTGGATGCTATGAATTTTTTATACGGTTGCCAACTTGATAGGTAAAAAATAATAATTTCATTATTTAAATTTGCATATCATTAATAGTGAAGTTGAGCATCTCGTTGCTTTTTGATCATTTTAATTGTTTTTATAAACTGCCTGTTCACATCTCTTGCCTGTTAAGGAAAAAGTAGATTGTTTGTCTATTTTGTATTAATTGGGAGAAATCTTCTCCATGTTACACTAACTTTTCATTTTTCATATACTTTTAAAATATTTTTCTCTTATTTTTCATTTATCTTTGAACTTTTTTTTAGAGTGGAAGTTGTGTTTTGTGGGAAGATATTTGAAACATTTCTATGAAAATAGTTACAAGAAAAGAATGTTTACAATCAAAACTAATATTCTATTACAGCTACTGGCCACCCAAAAGTCATTATTATTATTTATTTATTTTTGGCTGTGCTGGGTCTTCATTTCTGCAGGTGGGCTTTCTTTAGTTGCAGTGCATGGGTTTCTCATTGCAATGGCTTCTTGTTTCAGAGTGTGGACTCGGGCGTGTGCGCTTCAATAGTTGCAGTGTAAGGGCTTAGTTGCCCCACAGCATGTGGAATCTTCCTGGAGCAGGGATAGCCTGCCCCCTGCATTGGCAGATGATTCTTAACCACTGGACCACCAGGAAACTCCAATTTT